TGCACCTTGTTGTCTCGGATTCTCCAGCATCTGCAGTTCCTACTATCTCTTCTTATCAGGGAACGTTCTCACATTCACTATTCCTAATCTGCTCTCGGCAACACAAGAGGAGCTACATCCTGGCATGGACGGATAGTCCACGTGTTAATTTAAAGTTTTCGAGAAGATTTGTAGCTCGGGTTGTGGATGAGGTTGTAGACATGCTCACTGAGTTGGTAGGTTTGTGTACAGTTATGACGCTGCAACAAACTGAGGTATATAAATAACAAGCCGGACAGAACACCAACGCTTCACCGGAGGTGGACTGACGATGTTACCGAGCAGGGTGACAAAATGTCTGCAATCAAACCCACCGGCTCGGCGAGCAAATCTACAACCTCATGTGTTAACTGTTTCAGTTCCTGAGAAATGAAGCATTCTGTGCAGCAGATTAAGAACAGGAGGAGGCCACTCTGCCTCTCAAACTTGTTCTGTCCATATCCAGTTGCATGCTGGTTGATCTGGATCTTGGGTCCATTGTCCTGTCTTAGTTCTATATCCCCTCACCCTCCCACAACAATAACCTTTCGCTATTTCATTTCGGGTTTTTTTTTGCCTGAGATGGTGTCAGAGAATGGTGCCTTGGTACACTTTTCACTGCGCTCCTGCACTTGAGTACTTATGATAATAAAACCAAATTCTGACCTAATTCTAAAACCTAATTCTGATTTTATCAAATTAGTTCAATATTTTCAATGGTCTCAAGAGCCGCAGCAGCTTTTTGGGGTCAGAATTCCAGATGGAGCAGTGCTTCCTGACACCACCCCTGGCTCAGAGTTTAAGATCTGTCCCCTTGTCCTGGACCCTGTCCCCACCAGTAGAGAAAATACCTTCGCCCCGATCAAATCCTGAAACTACATCCCCCTAATTTTTTTAATTCCCCTCTCCTTTCTCGACAGTGACACCTGGAAACAGTTCATTTATCGTGCACACTCATGATAGTAAAATGTAGGGTATGCAGCGTAGCTTGATCTTAGAGTAGAATAATAGGTCGGCATAACATTGTGGGCCGAAGGGCCTGTACTGTGCTGTACTGTTCTATGTTCTATGTATCGATACCAAAACAGATCTGGAGTCAAGAAAGGAAAATGAAAGGCCTAAAAGGTTGGCACGGACACCGATGAGATATCAGGACTTGGTCTGTCCATGGAAAGGGATTGAGTGTTTTTTACACAGGCAGCCAAATGCAACATGTGTTCTGCATTACAACAGCCACTGCACTTCCAAAGGATCTCATTGGCTGAAAATGGCTTTAGGCCTTGACAGATATTTATCGAAGAGTGAGCCTTTTCTTCACGCCTCTGTGAGAATAATGAAATCAGGTGTTTCAACTGATCCTTGAAAAATGAATTCCAACTCATATCCAGAACATCACTGCCCCCAACAGAGGGATGGAGTTACAGAGAGTGAGTGAACATGCTTGGAGCCAAATACATTGGCTGTAATTTGCTCCTACATTCAAAGTCTAGCCCTTTAACAGCGGAAACTGAGCTCACAGATTTAAAGTCTGGCCCTTTTCAAAGGAAAAGGAAGATTTGCATTTTAGAAAGTGTTTGGAAAACACTTGTTGAAGTGCAGTTAGTCACTGTTATTGATATTTCTGAATTATCATATTCAGAGATATTATTATCCACCTCTATAGCAGGTGGAACTTGAACCTGAGTCTCCCAGCTCAGAGGCAGGGACACTATCACTGTACCATAAGCGCATTCCCTAGTCATTTTTATAATGGAAGAGAAGCCAGTTTGCACACAGCAAGCTTGCATAAGTGGCCACCTGGTACTGATCTGTTTCAGTGAAGCCTGTTGAGGGACAAATATCGATGTGAGCGCTGGCAGAACTCTCCTGTCTTTTCTCAACATGTAGCAGATACAAAAGCTTAAACACGTGTACCAACAGATTCAAGAACAGCTTCTTCCCTGCTGTTACTGTACTTAGAGTCATAGAGATGTACAGCACGAAAACAAAACCTTAGGTCCAACTTGTCCATGCCGACCAGATATCCTAAATTAATGCAGTACTTCTGAATGGACCTCTCAGATTTTAAACTTAATGTTGGTCTCACTCCTTGTGCACCTTCCCTGCAGCCATAACATTATATTCCTCGCTCTGTTCTATTACCCTAATGCACTTTGTATGGTATGATCTGCCTGTACTGCGCACAAAACAGAAATCTACACTGTACCGAGGTACATGTGACAATAATAAATCAAATCAAATCAAATCAAATCAGAGACAGTGCCACGGAATCTTTTGTGCTTCCCCTCCCTGAACACGTGGGAGTGTCAGTTCCACGCCACAGCTAAAGAGCGACAGTGTGACGTTCTGTCAGCACCTGAGATGGGCAGGTGCCAGTCTGTATAGTGGGCTCAGAGACTCCAGAGTAAGAGGTAAAGACACAGCCTTCAGACTGAGAGGTGAGAGTGCTCCCAACAGAGCTAGGGACTGAGTTAAAACCAGGACTGCTCAGTCACAAGCGGGTGGGGATTCAGGCTGTGAGCTGGAGGTGGTGATTGTAGAACAGCTGCTGTAAAACTGCTGAGAACGAATGTGTGGGAACAGCAGATGGGCAGAGTGTGTGTGTGTGTGTGTTGAGGGGGAGGGGACGATTTCTGCCTATTTGGATCCAATCCTTTCGGTCAATTCTAATTGAGTATTGTCCACATCAAAAAGATTACCTCATTGGTTCAGATTTGAGGTACAAGCCAATTGGATGTGATGGCAGCAGGTTTTGTGAGGCTTCTGATTTGTTTAGTGCAGTTCCCAGTCTAACCCTGCCTACCAGGAGCTAGTGCTTGTGTCTGTGTCCCCTCCCTATTCTGCTGGTTGCAGCAGCCTGTTCAGTCTTTGTGACACTCGAGGGGTAGAGGCAGGTGAGTTTACTCCTGTTTGGTATGCTGCAATGTTATGTTGCTTTTATCTTCACAGATCCTGATAATGGGGTGGAAAAGAGAGAAAGAAAAAGAGGTTGAATGTGTGATTCAATGAAATGGGGCTGGGGCTCTTATTCTGACTGGAGGCTCTGTAAAGTGCATAGGCACTGAGTTGTAAAATAGGATTTAGTTTCTAAAACTAGAATCATGTGGCTAAACAGTTAGTGTATCTTTCTTTTTAAAAAATGAATTCCAGTATTTCCCAAATTTCTTCATTTTATTTTTTGTTTGAAAGCTTCACTTTAACTGTAGTGGCCTTCTGTGGGTCTGGGGTGGGGGTTGTTGCTGGAAGGTCTGTGTACTATGTACATTTTTTTTTATTGTAACTGTTGGCTGTGAAAGAGGAATGTTGTAACCTACCTCTTCTCTATCTAGAGATCTTGTCTCCATATTGATTTGTTGTGAATGTGTAGCTGGAATTTTAATGCAGAGCTCTTTAATATTAGAAGCATTTCAGTTAGACAATCTTGAGAATCTGATTTATTGTCAAAGCCTTGTGAAGTAGTAGGAATTTCAGTTGAGCAGTTATGCCTCTATATTTTTATAATTACACTGGATAATTTGAAGGTGAAGCTTTTTTAGTTGCACAATGATTAGTGAACTATTGCCCCCCCCCCCCCCCGACCCTTCCCCTGTTGATTCTGTAATAATAAATTATTACACTAACCTCTTTGTTCTGCTGGATGTAATCTAACCAATATAAAGTGTGGGTCTTTTGGTTCCAGGGTATTGTAGATAGCCATTTCTCCTTAAATGGCTGCTAATTTTTCTTTCAGTTTTTGTTTCAGTGAGGAACTTGCATTGGAACTGACTGGTTTTTGGATCTAGAAAGAGTTAAATCCTGAGGTTTGTTTCCCTGCTGGAATGATTTAGTTTAGTCTGAAATTTTAATTGCCTTTTCTAATAAGTTGTGGAGGCTATAACTTCTGACCCCTTTTCTGGTTAAACAGTTGAAACCCGAGTGCAGAAAAATGTTGGAGTTCAATGTTTAACCATTTAGTATGTATCTAAGTCTCTTCTTTCTTTTTTGTAAAGGTAATCTGCAAGAAATGGTGAGTGTAATCAGGCAAAACCACACTGATGCGAACACTGATTCCCATCAGTTGTAGGTGGAAGATGTCTACTGAGGCAGTTTGTTCTGCTATTGTCATTGATGTTAAATCAACTGACCTTGCTACCTCCCCAAGTCAAACAGCTCTCACTTGCTGTCCTATTTTAAGGAAGTTGCCCCTAATAGGTTTCACCTTGCTAATGTTGTTGCCATTTTCTGCAACTGATCAATTGCTTGCTGCTGATCCAAGTAAAGGACAGTTGGATTTCCCCCACCGCTGTCTCCCACTATCCCTCATTTTCCCCTGTGACTGTAACTCTATTAGCCCCTCCCTGGAATACATCAGCTTTTTCGGAACAGGCTTGTCTTGGCTTGGAGCTGACATAGTCAATTAGTGTATAGACTGAGCACCAACCCAACAGTGACAGGTGCCTGTACTGTAACCCCTTTCTCATGGTGTTGTGAAGTGGTCCAAGTTCATGTTTAACACTTTGGAAGTAAAAGGTTATGAAGTGTAGCCCTTGTGTAAATCTGAAGAATTTTTTTTACATAAATCAGATCCAAGTGAGCCTCCATTTATGAAGCTGAAACTAATCACCAACTTAATTGCCCTAATTAAAGCCTGTGACATCAATCTGTAGGATGACTTAGTAGCTTCTGTGGCCAGTGCTTTTAAAACCTTGTTTGTTTTTCTTCAAGAGTTGGGTTGTTTAGAATGTGGGTGACTGTGATGGAGACAACTTGCATTTACATAGTGCCTTTTTTGTGTACAAGTAAATGCTTCAGTTAAAGTGCTTTCTGAGAATTTTAAAAAAAACTGACAAGATTCAGCAATCTGAGGAGAGAAACTTCATGTTTCAGATTCACAAGTTCCCACCCAGGGTAGGGGAGTGCAAAACTAGGGTCGTAGGTTTAAGGTGAGAGGTGAAAGATTTTTTCCTCATGGAATGAGCTGCCAGAGGAAGTGGTGGAGGCTGGTACAATTACAACATTTAAAAAGGCATCTGGATGGGAATGGGAATGTGAATAGAAAGGGTGTAGAGGAAAATGGGCCAAATGGGACTAGATTTACGTAAGATATCTGGTTGACATGGACCGAAGGGCCTGTTTTTCTGTGCTAAACATCTGACTCTATAACAGCAACTTGATTATTGATCTAGTATGAAAAATCAGCGTTAGTGTTTCGGGTCTGGTGACCCTTCCTCAGAAATAGGGTCACTCAATCTGAAACGTTAACTGATTTTTCTTCACAGATGCTGCCAGACCTGCTGAGCTTTTCCAGCAACTTCTGTTTTTGTTCCTTTGGTTTTTAATGCTTTGGTACTTTAACTTTTTTAGTGAGTTTGGTTGATGTCTAAACATTGGTCATAATCCTGATGAGATCTCACTTGAATTAGTGCCATGGTACCTTCATCCATCTGCCCAAGGCAGGTAACTTTGGAGGAGGGGGCTATTGGAAGTGGATGAAGGGCAGGGTGGTGGTGAGAAATGAAGAGGAATAATTGTCATAACAGAACTCAGGAACAATACTGAGTTTTTGAGACTTGCTTTCTGAATGCAAAAATGGGTTAATGAGGCTACATCTTTAGACAAAGTAATCTGAATTTAAAAAAGAAAAACTCCAATTTCTCCATATTTAATGAATTAAAAGGAATCTGATAGTTACTCTTAACTGGGAGCACTTTTATATTAGGCCTCAGCCACTGTCTTGCTCTTCCCCTGCAGCTTGGAGTGATTTTTTTTTTCTCTCTAGCATTTCACAGCAGCAGGTATCTTGAGAGATAGCAAGAACTGCAGATGCTGGAGAATCTGAGATAACAAGGTGTAGAGCTAGATGAACACAGCAGGCCAAGCAGCACCATAGGAGCAGAGAGGCTGACGTTTCGGGCCTAGACCCTTCATCAGAAATGGAGGAGGGGAAGGGGGTTCTGAAATAGAGAGAGAGGGGGGAGGCAGATAGATGATGGATAGGTGGAGAGGAAACACAGGTCAAAGAGGTGGGGATGGAGCCAGTAAAAGTGAGTGTAGGTGGGGAGTTAGGGAGGGGACAGGTCAAGGGGGTGGGATGAGGTTCGTAGGTAGGAGTTGGCGGTGCGGGTTGAGGTGGCTTCACAAGCTTCAAAATCTCCCCTTCCCCCAGCTCGTCCCTGTTCTTCCTCCCACCTATCCCCTCTACCTCAAGCTGCACCATCTCCTACCTACTAACCTCATCCCGCCCCCTTGACCTGTCCGTCCTCCCTGGACTGACCTGTCCCCTCCGAACTCCCCACCTACACTCACCTTTAATGGCTCCATCCCCGCCTCCTCAACCTGTCTGTTTCCTCCACCTATCTTCTCCTCCTCTATCCATCTTCTATCCGCCTTCACCACCGCCCCCACCCTCCCTATTTATTTCGGAACCCCCTTCCCCTCCCCCATTTCTGAAGAAGGGTCTAGGCCCAAAACATCAGCTTTTTTGCTCCTATGATGCTGCTTGGCCTGCAGTGTTCATCCAGCTCTGCACCTTGTCTTCAATAAAATCTCGTGGGTTCGAAATCCTCTGGCCTTGTCCCTTGTTGTTGTCGTCAGCTGTCTGATCTCAACACTCCTATTCTTAAGCTTCCCCACTTTAATCCCTCTACTTATAGCTGTACCTTCAGATGCCTGTGTTCCAAACTCTGTCACTCCTTTTGTTTCAACTCAAGTTGCTGCCTTGAAACTTGATTCTTGACCAAGCTTCTCGTCACTAGTGTAAATGGTGCTGTTTTAGTATTAATGTTTGTTTAATAGTGTTTATAATGATTTAGGACCCTCCCTATTCTTTTTAAAAGAAGAGTTAGATGACTGGGAGTCCCTAGCACCTCCCTTGTATGTGGACCCATGGATTCGGATGGTAGAAGACTGTTCTGGCTGCTCTTTGTTCATTTTGGATTTGAGCTGAGTTTTATTTTAAAGCCATGTGGAGTTTGGGTTCTCTTACAGACTCCTTGAGGCAAAATCAAGATTGTCAAGTTTTTACAAAACATTAATGCTGCTGTACATGAATGTCCAATATTGTTGATGCATGCTAACAGACCAAGCAGACTTTGTAGTTACCCTGGGAAATGATTTAAACTAATAATCTTGGGTTCATGCCCACATAATCCATGTGAGTCTGAATCTAGATTGTAGTGTCATGGTGTTCGTCTAGAGTGCAAGAGTTCTAGCTCCATACATAGTGTGCTATTTAAGGTCAGTGACGTGCAGTGGTAAGACATCACAAGGTTGCTCCATTGCTTGCATAACGGAATTCTACAAACTAACAGATGGTGTATTCTGTTCTCTCATCCCTTTTTTGATTAAGTTGTCTGGAACAGAGATTGCAGTTGAACTTCTTCACTACAAAAGCAAATTGGCCTGGGATTTTTAATGTAGGACTGGGGGAAAGAGGGGTTTTCCATCAGGATGTTGCTTTGGAAGATGGTTAGGATTGCAGTTAAGAGAGTAGCATCTCTTAAATTGTTGCATCTATTAGGTACTGCTTCAGATCTGAAGACTCAGCAGCAGCTTGTATCTGGTTGTGGCACTGCAGTGAATTCTCTCTGCTCTCTAGTGCTGTATCAGGTCGGGTAGATTCTGACACAAAGGATATTGCATCTTCTAGGGCTTTTGAGCCTCTGTTTCTAATTAATTAGAATGAATTGTTTTTGTTTTTTTTTGCAACAGGATGATAAATGTTCTGAAGGAACTCCATTTAATCTCCATCTGGAGCTGTCATTTTTAATGGGATCTAGTTATAATTCCTTGTATTTGTCCAACCCTGTCCTGTTGACTGATCTGGACCAGGAAAGTGCAGCAAGGTATTTATAGAATTTTTTCCCCAGTGAAATTAGTTGGGAACAGTTGCTGTGGTGTAGGAAAATACCACCAA